GATTGCTAGAGCCTGGAGATGTATGTATGACTGATAAAGGTGCCATTATTGACCAGATGCTGTCAGATGCCTCAACATCCCTCTATCCAAAACAGATAAAGAAAACACATAAATACAAGTGTTGCCTGTCTAAAAAAATGGTATTATGCAGATTTATATGTATTAATTTTTAGGTTGGTTTCCATATAAAAAATTTGATTTGAAATGTAACCAGTGTATTATATCTCATCTTGCAATGTAGACTGAGGAGAGAATAGAATATGCTGAGGGGACTGAGGGGTAAACATCCTCATCATTAAGCAACCTATAGTGTATGGGGCTCACGTTCTTTCTAGTAGCAACTTGTCTGTACTACTAGCTGTTGACTATATACACACTGAATACAAAAGAAATATGGACACAATGAGACTCTCCTAAACCAGATAATATAACCCCTTCAGAATGCACCATGAGTTTGAGTCAGTCTACCTAATTAGATTGTTCAGGGGGGGTAGATATTTTGAGGCTTGTCATAATGTGTTAATTGTGCTGTGTAATTGTTTTGTACTGCTTCAGATCTAGCTTCTACACAACCATATTGGTCAACTATGGGGACACTGTCTGGGTCCTTACCCAGGTGTTCTCTGCAGTATGGAAGCTTCGCGTGGGTTTCCTCCGGGTGCTCTGGTTTCCCCCACAGTCCAAAAACATGTGGTACAGGTAAATTGGGTAGGCTAAATTGTCCGTAGTGTATGAGAGTGTGTGTGTGTGTGTGTGAATGTGTGTGTGGATGTTTCCTAGAGATGGGTTGCGGCTGGAAGGGCATCCGCTGCGTAAAAACTTGCTGAATAAGTTGGCGGTTCATTGCGCTGTGGCGACCCCGGATTAATAAAGGGACTAAACCGACAAGAAAATGAATGAATGAATGATTTAAAATTTCCGCTCCACCTTAAAATAGCAGGTTCTTTTCCTTTGCTCTAATTGGCTGTGTTAGTAGATTTAACTTCTAGACAACATGCAAAACATTTTCTGAATAAACAATGAATTGAGTAAGAAATTAATGATTCGGTATGAAATATGGTGTTATTAATTGATGCATATGATGTTTACTTTTCTTACGTTCCACACATTTTTAGCAAAGCTAAAAGGCCCTGTTTGACTCATTTAAGGAAATAAAAGAACTTAATTTGTATTGCCTATGTTGAGATTCTGTGTGTTTTATGTTGTATGTTATGCAGTCAATTGAGTTACTTATTGAGTAATGAAGTTACTGTTCAGACAACGTAAGTAGAAAAAAATATTTAAATACAATTTTAAGGATGTGATTAGTATTCAGAAGTGAATGACTTATTTTTTAAGTAATAAACCAACAATGCACCACTCATCCAGATCTTCAAAAACTGACATACATTCTAAAACAGCATTAATACAATATTGTATTAATCCTCTATTACTCTATCATTGTATTGCTCTATCATTTGCCTTATGGTAAACCAAATTTGTCTTTGGCTATGTTGCCATGTTGAGTTTTGTTGTAGACAGTTTCTCATGCACACTTTCGTGGCTCCAACAATAAGGGTCTGTGTTTCAGCGCTGCTCTATCCCAGAATGTCATTCATGTTTTTAAAGCACTTCCTGTTCGAATGAGTAAAGCTCTGATGTATTTGACCTCTACATTCATATACTTACATTGTAAAAAATGTTGGGTTCCACACAATTGATGTGTTGGGACAAAAATGAAGGAATTAAGTTAACTTTTTATTTATTTATTTTATTTTTTTTACAAATTTAAGTGGACTGAACATAAAACAATTAGGTTGTCCCAAAAAAAAAACCCTCAAGAATTATGTTGTTTCCAACAGTATCTGGATGCAGCCTTTATGATTGCACATCCGTTTGCACTGGCTGCCAGTTGCTGCTCGCATCAAATTCAAAGCTCTGATGTTTGCTTACCAAGCGCCTTCTTATCTGCTCTCACTTCTGCAGATTTATGTGCCCTCCAGAAACTTGCGTTCTGTGAATGAACATCGCCTCGTGGTTCCATCCCAAAGAGGGAAGAAATCACTTTCCCGAACTCTCGCATTCAATCTGCCCAGTTGGTGGAATGAACTCCCTAACTGCATCAGAACGGCAGAGTCACTCGCTGTCTTCAAAAAACCGACTAAAAACTCAACTATTTAGTCTCCACTTCCCTAACTAATCTGCAATTGCCTCTCTGGCTCCACCACTAACTGCATTACAACAATAATAATAAAAAATTACTAATGTTTTGCTTCTTACACTTTACATACCTGAAACTTGCCTACAGCACTTATTCATTGTTGCTCTTATAGTTGTGTAAATTGCTTCCTTGTCCTCATTTGTAAGTCGCTTTGGATAAAAGCGTCTGCTAAATGACTAAATGTAAATGTAATGATGCAAGCCGGTCTTTTTTTAATTTACTTTTTTACACCTCTCAGTTTTTAGAATGCATTTTAAAATGCAATATCTTCCCCTTAAATTGCTACATAACATATTAGTGATTCTTCCAGTTCTAGTAATTAGTTATTTAACTAAGCTTAACATCAGGGATAGTTTTTATATAACTTGTGACTCATCACAATGATTTTCAACAATTGTCAAATTAGCGCAGTTTTCCACTTCATCAACTGCTGATTGTAATAACATAGTAACATTACATCTTATTTTCCATATCGCTCCGTTGCCAGCATCACATCTGCTTTAATACGATAAAAATATAGTTTGTAATACTAATCTGATGTAAATCCTCCAGTAAATCACTATAATTAAGTCTCTTAATTTCCCAGAAATCTTCAGGTAAACTAAAGCAGGTCATGCAGCGGATATTAGTTTCAGCTACAAAAGCCTTACTAGTGCAATAACTCAGCTTATGATTGACTAAACAAATTAACCGAAGATAAGTGCTGTAAATCCTACATGCTGAGTTACAGTCATTCTATAAGCCAGCTCATTTGTGTTTAGACAGAGTAATTATTGACTAAATCTCAACAGTTTCAGTGCTTTTAGCGTGTTTATGGTTTGTGAATGTTTTATAAAATAATGTTATTATCCATGGAAACTACATTTCACAAAAGGTTATTGTTTTATTAAAATATTCCACACACTCTTAAAAATAAAGGCTCTTAAAGGGTTCTTTGTTGATGTAGATGGGTGACACGGTGGCTCAGTGGTTAGTACTGTTGCCTCACAGCAAGAAAGTCACTGGTTCAAGTCCTAGCTGCGCCAGCTGGCATTTCTTTGTGGAGTTTGCATGTTCTCCCCGTGTTGGCGTGGGTTTCCTCGGGGTGCTCTGGTTTCCATCACAGTCCAAAGACATGTGCTATACCTGCCAACACTCCCCATCTCCTGCCATCCTTATTTTTCCAGAAAATCTCTCGTAATTTCACCCTCGCCCTTTTTACCCTTTGGTACAGTATACGATTGGATCGGCTGCCGGAAACCTGGTGCACACAGTTACTTGCTGTGCTGTGTTATTCAGACACCTCATCCCTAACACCTTGACACCCCCCCCCCCCCCCCACCTCCCCAAGGTCTCCCAGATTTTCAGAGACAAATGTTGGCAGGTATGCGCTGTAAGTGAATTGAATCAACTAAATTGGCTGTAGTATATGTGTGTAAATGTGAGAGTGTATGGGTGTTTCCCAGTACTGGGTTGCAGCTGGAAGGGCATCCGCTGGGTGAAACAAATGCTGGATAAATTGGAGGTTCATTGCACTGTGGTGACCCCTGAACAAAGGAACTAAGCTGTAAAGAAAATGAATGAATGAATGAATGAATGAAATTGGTCGTAGTGTATGTGCATGAATTAACGTATATGGATGTTTCCCAGTGATAGGTTACAGCTGGAAAGGCATCCACTGTGTAGAACATATGCTGGATAAGTTGGCATTTCATTCCTCTGTGGCAACCCCTGATTATAAAAAAGGACTAAGCCAAAAAGAAAATAAACAAATAAATGAATTTGGCCCTTGTGTATGTGTGTGAATGTGAGTGTGTGGGTGTTTCCCAGTACTGGGTTGCAGCTTGGAAGGGCATCCGCTGCATAAAACATATGCTGGATACGATGGTGGTTCATTCTGCTGTGGCGAGCCCTAATGTATAAAGGGATTAAGCTGAAGGAAAACTAATGAATGAATGTTGATGTAGATGATTCTTTGAAGATCATCCATGGAACCTTTTTAACGCACAAAAGGTTCTCTGTAGCCCTAAATGGTTCTTTGCACTATATAAAATGTTTTTTTTTTACATGATAGCCTATCAATAAATGGTTATTTTAAAGGGATAGTTCACACAAAATTAAAAATTCTGTCAGCATTTACTCATCCGTTGGTTTGACTTTCTGTTGAATACAAAAGAAGATATTTTGAAGAATGCTGAAAACCTGTAACTATTGACTTGCATTGTGTTTTTTTATTATAGATGTCAAAGGTTATAAGTTTGCTGCTTTTTTAAAATATTTTTTTTTTTGTTTTAAACAATATGAAGAAACTCAGAGTTTTGAATTGAGGCTGGGTTAATGGTGAATAAATATTAATTTACGTGTGAGCTGTCACTTTAAAACTTCCTTAGGGAACCTTTTATTTTTTCCACGACATTACTACAAAAACTCCCTCTGGATTAATTAAGAGCGCAGACTCATGGTGAATATTAAGATATATTTTTATTTTCAGACTGAATATATGTGGGCTGAATTGCACTCATGTTGTTTTTGCATTGATAAAACTAATTGATGTTCTAAATTTCCATGAAAAGCCTCAGAATATTTTAATGTTTGCAATTTAATAAATTAGTTAATTTTTTTCTGTATAAAACAACTGCATAAGTGTCAGTCTCCCATTTTTGTGTTTGTTCAGGATTTCCCTTCAATCACACACAAATGCGCGCACACAGACAAACACCATGTGGCGCGTCCTCCTGTATTCTCTACTGTAGCAGCTGTGGTGGGCGGAGTCTCCCAGCGTGCGACAACTCTGATTTGTCGAGCGGCCGTCAGTCAGAAAAACACGCTCCTGCTATTGGATGAAAGTCTGATTAGGGTCAGTATCTCATGAAGGCAGCGGAGTTTCCTGTGAAAGAAAAAAAAACCTAGTGTGTCTTATTAAACACACCGTTCATGTGAGACTCAATGGAGCTTTAATGTATACGTACAGATTTAATACAACTTAACGACCTGGATGTGTATTCTCTGGATAAGGTTCAAACAGCTGGATTTTAATTAGCCCGACTTCTTTTGGTAAAGTTTTCATTTTCTCGCGATGTCCCGTGCTTCGGAACCGCTACCGAAAGCTCGCCAGGAAAGAATGAAAGACAATAATGCAAAGGTGAGTTATAAATGAGTTATAACGTTTTTGGCGTTTCACCTCCTGTTTAAAACACAGCCGTATTTTCTTTGGTTCGTTTTATTTTTAAAACGCATGTTAAACATATATGAAGTATTATTGGACACGTGATTACATTAATATATTAATTAACATAATATTAAATTTATTGGTGAATGGCTCCTTCCAACGGTGTTCCGCGAACGGTTTTTTCTGCTGGCTGATGGAGGCTGCTGCTGCTCAGCTTCTTTCTCAATTGATAAAACGGACAAAAGAAGCTACACCAGGGCTTTCTGGTATTATTAAACATATTTAGATGTTTAGATACATGTGTTTACTTGTATTTGTGTTTATATATGTGTTTTTAAGTATAAATGCGCGACTCGTATTCCAAGGTTTGCTCCATTGTGCTGCTGTGTGAACACGTTGTCTAAGGGCACTAAGGGGAATCAATGGGGGAGGGACGTACAAAGACACCCACTGCAGCAGCATGTACACGACATTAACCGCTGCACTACACACGCTTTCTGCAGCACACACCTTTACTAAACACTAAAAAAGTTACATTTAATGTTTTTTGACTCAAGTATGGCTTCGCTTTTTAGTTTTCCAAATGACTGCTTCCCGTCTCTCCCCCTTTGCTCATAGTATCATCCTGTCTTTGTTCTTATATATACAGTACGATGCAAGGCTCTGCATCTCATATATCACAATATCTAGTTAATTCATTATTTGCTAGAATGTTTATATGAAATGACTCAGTTCCTCTTTTCAATTCCCTCCATAGTTGATTCATTGTCACATCAGTGCATATAAGATTTGCATTTTAGTCATTTGAGGTAAACCCACTAGTATATTGTGTGTGTGTGTGTGTGTGTGTGTGTAAAAGAGGTCGTTTACATGTGATTTTGTTTTAGAACTGCATGCGTTTACCTTGTGAATCTGTAATCTCTCTTGGTACATGATTTTCAGCAGACGGACTATGATAAAGTACCAAGATGTTGCATAGAAAATGAGGAAGCAGGGCAGATGTTGCAGTGTAGATGCTTCTTTTTTTAAAGCTGGAGAAGTTTATACGAAACGCAGAGGTAAGCAGAAGTGGAAGAATCATGCAGAATTTCCTTCAAGGACAGCATGAGTGGTGCATATGGGGAATAAGTAAATGAGTATTTGCAGGCAAAGGTGATGATCATTTGAGGGGAGAGGAGAGTGTTAAATGGTGGAGGACGGTATAAGGTGAGCAGTTGAGTCCCATTTGTAAGCAGGAGCTGATCTCGGTGACGTTTCTGGTCCTGGTCCAATTGGATGTTGGGGGTTGCCGCATATGCCTTCGGTTTAGCTTCCGTAATCGTGGGAAGTGTTGGACTGGCATTTCTGGGCTCGACTGTCACGTGAGTCGCCCACCCGCTCCTCCATTTTTGATGACATCATTCTGGTTGGATTTGGTATGCACATCTGACATAGATTCTTGCATGTAACATGCACAAGTTCAGATATTTTCATAACAAACCTAAGCTATTTCCTAATAAGGTTTGAAATCAGATACACATCTTATTTCAAGACAACTGATATATGTTTAAACATATCACTTTGGTTTCTCTGTGTACATTAGAAAGCCATCAATATTTAGATGTGAATAAAAGGTTAAACTAAATCTGTTCCTTATATGAAGATGTTGTCTCATTTATTCATTCATTCATTTTCCTTCTGCTTAGTTTCTATTTCACAGTCGAATTAACCGCCAACTATTCCAGCATATGTTTACACATGCCCTTCCAGCTACAACCCAGTATTGGGAAACACCCATACACACTCATTCACACACACACTCATACCCAACAGACAAATTTAGTTTATTGAATTCACCTATAGCGCATGTCTTCAAACTGTGGGGGAAACCACAGCCCAGAGGAAACCCACGCCAACACGGGCAGAACATGCAAACTCTACACAGAAATGCCAACTTGCCCAGCTGGCACTCAAACCAGCAGCCTTCTTGCTGTTCGGCGACAGTGCTAACTAGGGCTGCACGATTAGTCGAAAAAACCTACATTTACCTATCATATAGATTAGTTTTTTTTTACTCAGACGGTTTGTAGCAATCAGTTTTCTCATTCGGTTTAGGTTGTCTTCACTTACTGGATTTTACAGTAATCAGTTTGTTTGAGTTCTCTTCATTTGTTGGGTTTTACTGCTCAAATTGCTTCATATACTCCCGTGGTTTTCAAAGTGAGGGTTTTAAATAGAAAAAAAATCAATTTATTTTTATTAAAACATAAGAATTGCGATTCATTTACTCATTTTCTTGTCGGTTTAGTCTCTTTATTAATCGGGGGTCGCTACAGTGGAATGAACCGCCAACTTATCCAGCACATTTTTACGCAGCGGATGCCCTTCCAGCTGCAACCTATCTCTGGGAAACATTCACACGCACACACTCATACACTACGGACAATTTAGCCTACCTAATTCACCTGCACCTCATGTCTTTGGACTGTGGGGAAAACCGGAGCACCCGGAGAAAACCCATGTAAACGCAGGGAGAACATGCAAACTCCACACAGAATGACCATATTTACCATATTTTATCCATGACCAACTTAATAGAATAGTCGTTTATAGTTACTTTATACTATCTAGTTACTATAGTAGCTTATAGTCACCAGTTCTATTGAATTGCGACCCCTGGGGTAATTACATTATATTGAAGACAGCAATAGCGTCAGATGCAGCAGATTGATTATATAACACCAGGTTAAACTTTCTGGCACATTTACAGCACTCACATTCATTTCAATTCACCTTTATTTGTATAGCGCTTTTACAGTGTAGATTGTGTCAAAGCAGCTTTACATAAAAGATTATAGTAAATTGAAATAGTGTAGTTCGGTTTTAAAATTTAAATTCAGTTTAGCTCAGTTCAGTGTGGTGTAATAATCACTAATGAGAGTCCAAACACTCAAGAGCAAATCCATCGATGTGCAACTCCACAGATCCCGAACCATGCAAGCCAGTGGCGAGGAAAAAACTTCACCAATTGGCGAAAGTGAAGAAAAAAAAAAACCTTTAAAGAACCAGGCTCAGCTAGGTACGACCATTTCTCCACTGGCGAAACGTCTTGTGCAGAGCTGCAGCTTAAGCACCGGAGGCTGGATGCTGGGTCTCAGCGAAGACTCGTCAGTCCCTGGAGCGTCACAGGAATGTTAAAAAATGTCACAAATGTTACAAAAATTAATCGAAGAATAGACTTGGGTCTATTGGTGTGTGTGCGACATTGCATGCAAGGTTTCTGTATTTATAACCACCTCAGAGGGTATTGTGAGTCGCGAGTAACTGGCATTGTTATTTTGGGGGTCGTGGGCTGAAAAGTTTGGGAAACCCTTGGCTTACTCAAATGGATTGAGTTCACGATACTCATTAGGATTAGTTTTTGAACTTAAATGGTTTGTTGCAATCGGTGTCCTCAAACGGCTTGAGTTGCCTTAACTTATTGGGTTTTACAGTGTAAAGGCCGTTCACATATCACGTCTTTTGCATGCAAACGTTCATAATTATTTTTTTGCGTACATATTTGGAGTGACGTGCATGCGGCACAACATGCTCATGCACTGTGAGTCACATGACAAAAACTGGTCGTTCAGCATCATACTTTGTATGGAATATACACATTTCTACTCTAAAGAGAAAAAAACAAAACAAAATGAAATGAAAATACCAAACAATTCTGTCATCTTCTAGTTAATCAACAGTGCCTTTCAGACAGAGATTCAGCAGCCTTCGACTACATTTGTTCTTTTTAAAAGGCAAGCACTTAGCTAATGTGTAGCTTAGATTTACATTAGACAAATACTATTTTTTATTTATTCTTATTTTTATTTAATAATTTATTCATGGTTCTGTCATTTATTTTTAGTGTAAAATTATTACTTATGTTTTAATGCCGACTTTTGTACTCATTTTTAACTTATTTATTCACTTATTGTTTGTTTATTTACATTTTTTAGTGCTTTATTAATTGGTTACTGAGCAGCAATAAATAACACTTTAAAATTTAAGTTTTCATGGGATTTTTTTAAACTAGTAGTAGTGTTTTAAAATTAATTATTGCAAAATAATTATAATAACTGTGATTATTCCTCAGACTATAATCGCACAACCAAAATCTAGAACCGTTGCATCCCTAATCACAGAACAGGAGTCAGTTATTGGATACTGTAACCCTCAAATTATGATCTTCCTAGAATTTCAAAGGAAGCTTTTCTTGGTGTTTTCTATTCAGTGTTAGCTGTTGACAGCAGCTGTCATCACTAATCGTCAGTTATCACTTTTAGATTGACGCCTGTTTAAATCCCGACTCACAGTCAATGATTGTAGCTTGTCAGACTGTATGAACATGATCCCCATATCACACTATAAAATCTCAGTTTTCATAATGCCAGACTGAACAATAATCAAGGCACAGCAAACATGCGAGATCACAGAATACCTGGCTCACACTGCAATTTATAAATAATCCTAAATCGATTGTAGCATTTCAGACTGCATGAATATGATCCCCAGCATCATCAGTAGGGGTTGACTGGTCGCCTTTAATGCTCTGCTGTAACATTTCTTGATTTACGTCAATTAGTTGCACTAAATATATCTGTTTTTGGTATATTATTAGTAGTAAGAGCCAGGGATGGCTTTCGTTAAGGTTTTAACGGTACTACTTTTAGCGATACCACTTATCGGTACTTTAATGGTTCTCTTATTGGTACTTTTTGTAATGAAAAAACAAAAAACAAATTGAACAGAATTTAACAGAATTAACAACACTTTTTTTTATTGCATTTTAAATTTTTTTTTAAAGATTTATTTTTGGCCTTTTTTATTAGATAGGACAGTATTGAGACAGGAAGCGAAGTGGGAAAGAGAGAGGGTAGGGTAGGGAAATGTCGTCGAGCCAGGATTCAAACTCGCGACGCCCTGACGTGCTATGGCACCATATGTCGACGCACTAA